AGTTAAGAGCACAGAAACAGTTGCCTAGAAGCCTTTAACTGATGAACGTGTAGCAAACAGGGAGAAAAGAAAGTAGAGGGAGGCTGTGTGCTCTGAGACTTCCTCTAGACTAGGTTCGGGCCACTAGGAGGCTCGCCTGTCAGTGGGGACTAGAAAAGACTAGGGACTCAGAGTGAAGATGACTCATTCTAAAAATGGTAAGTGACCAAAAGTTCACTTGTGTGGTCAAAGATCAAATGTGCTCTATATGTTATTTCTATGAATATGTATGACTCAAAGAACAGTAAGTACAATGGATAGGTATTCCAAGGCTAAGAAATGACTTGGAGTTCATAAAGTTGTCATTTGGTCAGGGAGGTACCTAACTGGAAGGTAGATAATTCCATCCACTTTTTTATTTTTTGCTACCCAATATAATTCCTTACATTTACCTAGTAGGTAGGTAAATAAAACATTACATTTTCATTAGTGAATAATACCAACTAGATTACTTATGCTTTTATATCACAACACTCAATGATTTTACCATTCATGACTCCCAGAGATTCCCCCCAAGTGAAGGCCATGAGCCATCATCCAGGACACTCCTGTTTTGGGGTACAGGCAGCCTGCATCCAAGAAAATGAGAACCACTGCTGGTCCTGTCTTACAAATCCAACCCTGTGGAGTGACAATGGGCATGAGCTCTTCACATGCTCCCTTTCACCATCAACATGTAACAAATCATGTGAATTAATAACATTGGACAGAACAACATTAAAAAAAATATTAAAGTTTAAAAGTAGAACTGTTCTACTGTTGGTGCTAACTGGAATCTTAAGACTTTATCACCCCCGGTTTGAACCACAATTTCATTTTTCTCTCATGAGTGTGTGAATTTTAGTGTGGAAAGTATTAAGTTTCTTAACACAACAATGTTTCATATAAAGAATAAAATTTTTAGAGAGGTTTGTTACAACATTCTTGGAAGCAAAGTAGAAAAACACACCTGCCAAAGACAGACACAGAGAAAGGATTTGTTTCTCCTTCAATGGAACTATATGTAAGCTAATATTCATGTGTGGATAGTATTTAGACCCTGGTCTCAAAAAGGATAAACTAAGCCTGGCTTCCGGGAGAATATTCTAGGTGTCCCCTTCTACAAACAGGAGGAACAGCAAGCACTGCTGAAGAGCTTGGTCTCTGCTGCCAGGAGTCACAGGTTTGAATCCTGACCTTTCTGCTCACTGCCTCTGTCGTGGGCCAGGGACCCACCTCATCAGCTGTAAAATGGGGGTAGTGATGACTGTACCTCATAGGGTTGTTAGAAGGGTCAGTTAATCAGTACATGAAAACCATTTAAAATAGGACCCTGGCTACAGCAGAGCTCCGTAAGGGCCAGTGAGGGCCAGCTGGAAAAGTGAGGCACATCAGCCTGCCTGTCTGTTTTGAGGAGCCCGCTCTGAGGCACAGTCCTTGATGGAGACCGGAGGGCCGCTGTCCAGGGGTTGCATTACCTTGGTTTTGAACCAGCTGGGCAAGCCACATACACTGTAGGAGCTCTGGGCTGGCTGGTGTGCTTTACAAATTTGCTGTGGCATCAGGCACGTGGAGCCTGCGAGAGCACACCCTCCTGGAGAAGCTGGCGGAATGCCAGTCCCAGGAGGGCGGGAGTTCTGTCTGGGTTGCCTGCACTCTTTCACTGGAAGCACTCGTAGCACCTGTACCGTGGTTAGCAGTCAGCAGGATCTGCTGAGGAAGGCGACGGCGGAAGGGGAGGGTCTGGGCTCTGCAGAAGAGGGCAGGAGGAATTACCGGGACAGGGAACATTCACAGCCGGGCAGGCCCTGCCATCAGGCCCCACTCAGCGACACGCAGACCTCACTTCACTGCGCTTCACTTTACGGCACTTCATACGCACTGCATTTATTACAGACTGGAAGTTTTGGTGCTCCTGCATTGTGCGAGTCTTTCAGCACCATTTTTTTGAACAGCATTTGCACACTTCATGTCTCTGTGTCACATTTTGGTAATTCTTATAATTCAAATTTTTTCATCACTACTATATTTGATATATTGATCTGTGATCAGTGATTGCTTTGGGGCACCACAAACTGCCACGTTAGAGGGCAAACTTAGTCAATAAACATGTGTTGTTCTGACTGCTCCATAGATCGGTCATCATCCCACCTCTCTCCATCTACCTAGTCCCTGAGACACAACAATAGTGAAATTAGGCCAGTTAATAACCCTACAATGGCCCTAAGTGTTCAAGTGATAGGAATAGTCAGACATCTCTAATTTTAAATCAAAAGCTAGAAATGATCAGGCTTAGTGAGGAAGGCATGTCGAAAGCCAAGACAGGCTGAAAACTAGGCCTCTTGCACCGAACAGTCAGCCAAGCTGTGAATGCAAAGGGAAAGTTCTTGAAGGAAATTAAAAGTGCTACTCCAGTGAACACACAAATGATAAGAAAGCGAAACAGCCTTGTTGCTGATATGGTGGAGAAAGTTTTAGTGGTCTGGACAGAAGATCAAACAGCCACAACATTCCCTAAAACCAAAGCCTAATCTAGATATATCAAGGCCCTAACTCGCTATAATTATGAAGGCTGAGAGAGGTGAGGGAGCTGCAAAGGAAAAACTGGAAGCCAGCAGAGGTTGGTTTATGAGGTTTAAGGAAAGAAACCATCTCCATACCATCAAAGTGCCAGGTGAAGCGGCAAATGCCATGTTGGATCTGCAGCAAGTTTATCCACAAGATCCAGCTTAAGGTAATCAATGGAAGTGGCTGTACACTAAACAACAAAAATTCAGTGTAAATGTATCAGACTTATCTTGGAAGAAGATGGTATCTAGGACTTCAATAGGTAGAGAGGAGAAGTCAATACTTCAAAGCTTCAAAGGACAGGGTGACTCTCTTGTTAGGAGCTAATACAACAGGAGATTTCAAGATAAAGTCAATGCTCATTGACCATTCTGAAAATCCCAGGGCCCCTCAGAATTATGCTCAGTGTACTCTGCCTGTGTTCTATCAATGGAACAACAAATCCTGGTGATAGCATATCTGTTTATAACATGGTTTACTGAATAAATAATTTAAGCCCACTTTTGAGACCCACTGCTCAGAAAAAAGATTATGTCCAAACTACTACTGCTCATTGACAAGGCTCCTGGTCAGCCAAAAGTTCGGATGGAGATGGACAACAAGATGAATGTTGTTCTGATCTCAGTACCACAGCATTCACTCTACAGCCTATGGATTAAGGAGCAATTTCACTTTCAAATCCTATTATTTAAGAAATACATGACAAGCTGTAGCTGCCAGATAGTGATTCTTCTAATGGATCTGGACAAAATTAATTGAAAATATTCTGGAGAGAATTCACTATTCTAGATGCCATTAAGAACTTTTGTGATTCATGGGAAGAGATCAAAATACTAACAGGAGTTTGGAAGAAGCTGATTCCAATTCTCATGTATGACTTTGAGGGGCTCAAGACGTCTGTGGAGGAAGTACCTGCAGATGTGTTGGAAACAGCAAGAGAACTAGGATTAGACGCGGGGTCTGGAGGTGTGACTGAACTGCTGCGGTATCGTGAGACAACTTGAACAGATGAGTTGTTTCTTATGGATGAGCAAAGAAAGTGGTTTCTTGAGAATGAATCCACTCCTGGTAAAGATGCTGTGAAGACTGATGAAATGACAATAAAGGATTTAGAACATTACTTAAACCTAGTTAGTAAAGAAGTGGCAGGCTTGAGAGGATTGACTCCAATTCTGAAATAAGTTCTACTGTGGGTAAAATCCTACTGAACAGCATTGAATGCTACAGAAAAACCACTCATGAAAGGAAGAGTCCATGGGCGCAGCAAACTTCATGTTGTCTTACCTTAAGAAATGGCCACGGCCACCCAAACCTTCAGCACCCACTGCCCTGCTCAGTCGGTAGCCACCCACACCGAGGCAAGACCCTCCCCCAGCAAAAAGATGATGGGTTCTTGAAAGCTCAGATGATGATTAGCAGTTTTTAACCACTATTGTTAAATTAAGGTATGTACATTGTTTTTTCAGACATAATGCTATTACACACTTGATAGACTACAGTATAATGTAAATATAACTTACATGTACTGGGAAACCCAAAAAATTCATTTGACTCATTTATTGTGATATGCACTTTGTAGTGGTGGTCTGGAACTGAACCCACAGTAGCTCTGAGGTGTGCCTGTACTACAACAAAACAATATTTCTCCAATACCAGAAGTTATTTCCTAAGTGCAATTTTTATCAGCTAGTCACAGGGATCAGCTGCAAATAAGATTATCAATATACTGAGAATTTCCAATAATCACATCTTCCTTGAAATGTGTGACAACATTTCATGAAAAATCATGTTGGTCACTTTCATTTACAACTAAATTTTCAGTGAAAATACTTCAATAAAAGAACTACTTTAAAAATTACATTGGCCAAGAGGCATCGTGATGCCTCAAAGAGACAATTTAATCAGGGTCTAACCTTTCAATGGGGAAAAAAATCCAAATGGATGCCTCGGAGTTCATAGCAAATGTGCAGTTAAGCTTTCAAAGAAGGAAATAAAGGAATAAGAAATAAATGAGTTCTTTAGACTAAAGAATAAAGAAATATATTGTGACCTCTTAAAATCTAAAGGCAAATTTTTTGAAAATTTATGACAAATTAACAGATTTCCTATTAGAGCATTAGTACCATTCTGAAAGTTAAAACCTGAAATTTTATCCTAGCATCTAAGTAAATCACAGTAACTAAAAATTGCTGTTATTTGGGATACAATGAGATGGATGCCCACAACAAAGTCCACAGCTAAAGCATCATTTCTTTAAAGGATAAAGATGTATGCAGAAAATGTGAAACAGCTTTCACCACAGATGGTGCAGAAAGTAACTCAGAGCCAATACTAAAAGATGTAACCAAAAAGTCTTAAGAATTGGGGGAGGAGGGAGGTGTTACAGAGAAGTCCCCAGTCCGCATTTCACTTACCTTGCACCATGAGCAGAGGCTCCTTGCCCCCGCCGTGGGCCAGCATCTCCCTGCGGTAGCGCTCACCCGCTGCCCTGGGGGAGACAGGAGACGGTTACAGGCCCCTGCATGCACAGCCTGCAGCCCCCACTCACACGGGCCATTGTTTCTCAGATGAAACTGCACTGATGTCACCCCTCCATAAGGCAATCTGGCCCCTTATTATTTTCTTGCCTCTAAAAATCTAGTTCCAAGTTTTAAATGATTCTAGTAAGTAAAACCAGGTTTAAAGGGATAACAGTATTTTCAGCTTCCTGTTTTATAGCAGGCAACCTCTCTTCACAGAAAGCTTTATTTAGTTTATGTATTAGAGAATAAGTAAAAGATTATATCCTATGCTCTGTCATCTTTAGGATTATCTTAAAGGGAGACTTGGAATCATTTATGCTGTCTTTTCTGTTCAACAAAGAATTTGAGATGGCACCTAATAAAGAGAGAAAAACAACACTGAAATAAGAGAGAAGGAAAAAAAGCGGTGGGAGAGAGTTAATGACACCAGGAGACCTGGGCTGAGGAGAGCAGCTAATGGGACAGAAAACTGCCCCTGGAGTGAACTGCTGGCTAAGGGGAAGGGGGTACATGCCTGTTTTTGTCTTCTGATGGATTCTAGAAGGAACATTGTCTATAATTGACAAGGCTGATTTTGAAGGACTCTCACAGATAGAAAGTCTCCAAATTAAGGGTAGATGGAGACGAACTATTTAGTGCTACTCATTCCTATTTTATGGGAAATTCAATTCCTTTAATGCCAATGACTACACGCTATAATGACATAAACTATATAAGTTATGTTTCATTCCACTATTTTTGAAGCATCTTTACGTCTGAGCAATTTTATGAATATGGTCTCTAATTAGAATTTTTGATAGCATTCTAGTATCAAAAATATGCTTATATCAAGCACTAATCCTAGTTAGATCCTAACGTGGGCACTAAGGCAAGGTGTGCCATGAAGCAAGAAATGTGGACAGAGGCTGGCCCTTCTCTGGGAGGGGACGCGGAGCCTGAGGAGCCCTGCCTGACCTCCGGCCTGTGGAGCTCGGAGTCCCCTCCCGGGCCTCCGGCTCTCGGCTGGCCTCAGCTCTGCACTGCCCGGCTGCCCGATGTGGGCTTCGGCCTGGTGGCTTTTCAGAGTCGGGATCAAAAAGGACCTTTTGACAGAGGTTAGCAATAGTCTAGTTCAATGAGTATTTTCACTAGCTTACTTTTACATGTCTATAAAAGTATGGCATCTACATGTCTAGGCAAGAACGCACCTATAAACAAGATATAAACACTTGGAAATATATATATTTAATAGTATGTGGTTTTCTAGTAAAATGTAGTTCCTTTAAACAAGATATTTTCCCTATTTTATAGAAACCTCCAGTAAAGAATCATAAGCCCCCAAATCGATTTACTGTAGTCAGTTTTGGCTTTAGATCCCTTGAAAATAATAAAATCTGAAAAGCAGACCAAATGTCTGCTGTGTGCAAAGGGCAGAAGAAAATAACATGTGGGTACCAAGCTGTAAAACACTAAAAAATCCTATTACATCAGATACAAGTTCAAAAGACTCTGGAACCACTTG